GCCTTATCACATTTAGGCGTCCTTGTGATACTCCGTAAGTTAAGGGATTAATCAGTCTGAATGCTTCGAAATTTACAGTATCCCTAGTAATCAAGAACCTTAAATCTGGTAACTTCGTCCATACTTTATTCAAGGCAAGGCATAGCTGAAATTTTATTTGGATAAAACTTGCTCGATATATTTCCTGACTGTCGTCCCCCGAATGATATTGATTCGCTCATCGAGATCAACCGTGGCCACCCAATCGCTTCGACCACGCGTTCGAAAGACACAGTCCTAAAACGAGGAACCTTTTGCCTGTGCCTGGACCACTTCAGTTTTTGAAGGGATAAAAACCAACCTGAAGTTGCATTTCATGGCGACACCTATGCCTCTTCAGACAGTTTGTGGTCTCACTGACGTTCACCACCTCAACGATTCCTTCCATCTCGTAGTTATTCAGTATCATTGCTGTATAGTTATCAACAGACTGTCTATAGATGTAGAAATGTTCGACACCCTAAATGGACATGTGGAATGGACCGAAGGCAGAGTCCACGATGACCATGTAGGCGGAGACCTAGAACCCTCCTTCCCTTTCTCATTTGGTGCTCCTCCATTTTCAAGCATGATCAAGAGGAAGGCTAGCCAAAGGAAGAAGAGTGGTTGGGTAGCTATGCCTATACGAACAGCGGGGTTGGCGCTCAAAATCGACATGAAAAAGCACGAACCTGCAATCTATAGTATTCTATGAATTCAATAAGCAGCAACCATTTGGGAGCGCTTCCCCATAGTGGTGCCAAGCACACGCTAAGGAAATCCTTCCTGCCTAGAACTGATAAATCCTGAGGTAGCTTGGCCTTTAAAAGCACAGTCCACGTTGGCCATATTGACGGAGACAGAGAACCACTGCTTTCCGCACTGGCGCGCTCTTTCTTTTTGCTGCCTTGGGAGGGCGGAACTTGGCTGTCTCCGCCCATACCATCACCGCACACTGTGGATTTTTAGAGCTCCATTAGATTCTCACCTTTATTTTCAACCCGAATTCCGTGCATATCTTGCTGTGGTACGCGGTCATCGGCGTTTAAAGACAAGGCCACGAATCGCGCTTTGTCACTCGGCGGACACCGTACTGTAAACTCTGGAAAGACGACTGACTGACCAGCTGGCAACACTTCCTGCATTTCCTCATCAAACAGACGACAGAATATACGACGCCTGAATTTCAGTAATCTGACTCGGAAGTGAAAATCATGCATTAATGAGCCTCGCCACTTTTAAAAATTCATCGGCTGATTGGATGTGTAAAAGAAACTTTGGCGCAGTTCGGCTTGGGGGTGGCTGCTGCTTCCTATCATCACAGCCGTGCTTCCTGGGGAAACCTGTAAACCCTCCTAAGCGTATGCTTTACTAGCAGGAGGCTACGCAGTGACAAGATCACAGCGTGTCAACCCAAAAAAATTCAACAGGAGTAGCAAAAGATAACTAACGATGTTGCTGCCAAAATTGCCCTCCGTTACTCCTCAGTTGAGACGAACCAGCGCCAGACTTATATGCCAAAAAATCTAATCAATAGCGTAGGCAGCAAGAATGCGGTGATTCGATCAGAATGGCTGTAGCCCGAGAGATGAAAGTGGAGGGGGTCGGTGGAATATGTCGCCATAACGAAGTAGTACCGATTTCTCGATTAGACTTCTTCTCTGAACCCTGACCGGTGGAGTTGTTTCGATTCGTTCCGATCCCGCTGGAAAAAGTCTTCAATAAAGTTTCCAAAGAAAACCAGGCAAAACAGCAAGTGGAATCAAAGGATGGGCGACGCCGAGACGTTGAAAGGTAAATGAATAAATGGAAATTAGCCAATGTATAAAATTATTGTATGCATAAGAAGGGTACTAGTCGCTCTACGAAAGTGCCAACCAACCGTTTTGCCGAAAGCGGTGAATAAGGGCGACTGCGATGATAACGGCGACAACGAAAGCGAGAAGTCGCGCTACAAACCTCTTTCGCATCGGCGAGATGTCGCGATCACAGCGACATCCCCGAACGACCCCCGATGTGTTCCTTTCAAACCGGTTCAGAGAGATTAACGATATCTAGGTCCACAAATGGTCAGCCTACTACTTACGCAGACCTGTACACTCTTCGAAAAACTATTCGCAGTTTATTTGAGGCTTCAAAGTGCTGTAAGGGAAGTACACTATCGAAAGAAACCTTGAGCCACCTCTTTGTTTCTTAAGTAACTGAAATTACGGTTTGTTCAATTTTCTTTCTAACCTAATCATTTTCCTTTGAAGGGCAAATCTAAGACTAGCTTTCCGATGGGTATACAGTACCCCTTGATTGGCAACGAGGATCGAAGGTTCTTCCCATGACGGGGGCCAACGATGTTGAGCCTAGGCTGTCTACCCGTGATCTATCGATCTAATATAACATAGACTCGACCACCAGGTCATTGTGGGAAAGAAAAAATGGGCATCCCGAGGTATTCTTGCTAGGGTGTTAGGTGACAGCAAAATAGGAGGATGTTTAGAGGGAGGGGTCAGTAATCTGTTTTGGACGAATTAGGATCATAAGAAGGGACGGGAAAAGGGAGATGGAGAAAACCCTTCAAACGTGGTAGGAGGTTTTCGGTGGAGGTAAGGGGTTTTCGATGCATGAGAATTATATCAAGAGCTAATATAAGGTAGCCTAGTTGACGGCAAAACGTCTTGCCTCAATTGTGGTTAAAAACTAGACCTCGTGTTTTCCATTGCGCCATCTGAACCCTGATGTCTCTCCAAGGAACGCGGTTATTTAAAGTAGCTTTCGAGCACTCACACGTAATATGAAATTCAAAGAATCCCAACTGTTGAAGGTTACTCAGAATCTGTTCACATCTAAGGTGCTGTTTTTCGTGACAGCCAGGGGTAGGCACTGCCAATCCGCCCTTTCTTTTCCAGGGAAAAATCGAGGTGTTTACAAGGGAAAATGAATGCCGCTGACGTTCTGAAGAAAAATCATGCTGTACAATCGTTTGGGAGACGACTCACCACGAGCATAGCTCTGAGATCACTCGCGAAATCTCGGGCCCGCTTAGACCCACGAAGCAGCAATGCGAACGCTGTCCCGCTTCAACAGTAGGTTGAGAAGTGTCTGGAGCAGCCCAGACCAATCCTGACACTGCCTAACTTTGGCAGCAAACAAGGCTGTACTTTTTTGTAAGCCTCAAGCCGCCCAACACCCCCCCCCCTGCCCACCAAATTTGCTGCGTATAGATTTTACAACAGAACATTGGAATTACCATCACAATGTAAAATTATCTATGTCACATTATTCTATATTGAATACCCCGGAGCATGCCATTAGTTCCTCATGCATATGCAGTGCTAGCGCCGAATTCGGTGTTATGCTTGTGTTTACGGCGACTTACAATTAATTAGGCGCCGTTTCAGGTTACGGTACCCTGGTGGCGATACTGAGGTTAGGTACTTGTTTACAAGGAAAGTGAATAAGCGCCTTAACATAAAGAGGAATTCCTAAAGGGCAGCTTTGCTTTGAATTATTCAGCTAAGTCTAGCAGTTACTGGAATGCTAAAATTGTAGCTAATTACAACGAGTGCATTAGAGAGAAGTATGTAGCTTTTCCTGGGAATGTACTTCTAGG